CCTTTTGGTACCAGAAACACCTCTGGGATGTGTCTTTAAGCTGAACTTCCTCATGGCAGAGCGCACCCACCCCACACACCCCACTATGACTCCTGCAGGCTCTTGGGTGAAAGTGAAACCTAACTGTCTGCTGAGCTCTCAACATCAGTTCTCACTCAGTGAAGCTCTTTTCAGATTAAAAATACCTTTGAGGAAATGTATTTTCAGATGCCAAGTAAACTGCCAAGTAAACTGCATCATGGCAGCTCCCCCCCACCCCCGAAATGGGCTAGACAGAAGTGATGGAGGTTCTTAAAGAGACAGAGGCCTATTTCAAGGCGTTTAGAAGAGGAAGTGATGAGAAGAAATGTTTATTTTCTATTTAAACGTAAAACAGTATTTTAATAACAGCTAAAGCTGACATAGATACTTTATTATGGTATAGTATTAAAATGTATGCCTGAGAAACATAATATTGGCCCTTTAAGAGCTAATTTGTGCCTAAACTTCACACAGGGGGTCTATCTGCTTCTCAGACTTTCCATAGACATAAAGGACATATCTACTGTCTGGGGAAATGTTTACTCCTGCTCTACAGGAACGATATAATATGCTGTTTTGTCTTGTTTTTGATTTATGATAATGGTTTTTATCAGATTGTTTCATGYACAGTGAGTACGTGCAGACTGGAGATGGAAAGAATGTACAAACCTTCTTGCTTAAAAACTCCACAAAACAGTTTATTTTAGTTTGGTTCACTAAGACGTGTAAAATGTGAGTTATATGAGAACTCATTGAAGGGTTTCTGTTTGTTAGAAGAATATGAAAATATCAGTAACTTAAAGGCTTATTGTTGTCCGCCTGTTTTCGTGACAAAGTTTAAAAGATTCTGAGTAGTGATTAAAATCTGTTCAATGAGTCATGAGATATTTTACTAACAGACAAACATGGTGGGCCTCAAGCCAAAGTTCCCTCTCAGTGTCTGATGTAAATGACTTTCAGCTACAGCCCCACCAGGTTATAAAAACTTACTGAAATATGTGTTTTCTGAAGTCAGCCCATCCTAAATTAAATTGGAACCAAAAGCTAAACAGCTGCAGACGAACATTCAATGATTACCTCCTGAAAGTTTCAATTAGGAGCGTCCCGATATCAGTTTTTCTCAAACCGAGTACAAATATGAGTAAAGTTTGAGTACTCATCAATACCAAGTACTTACTGATTTAAAACTTAAACATTACATAACTTTAAAAATGTATTTCTTTAATTTAGAACAGTGTGTCTCTTCTTCCTTATAGAGCTTGTAAAACTTTTTAAACGTGGAACGAAATGTAAACTGTAACACATTCAATGGAGTATCGATTCCAGCAAACCGGTATCAATATCGGTATTGGGTTTGAGTACTTGTAAAAATGCTGGTATCGGGACACCACTAGTTTTAAAAAAACGTGTTCAGTGTTTTATGAGATATTTTGCTAACAGGAAGTCAGAGTTGATTCTGATAGTTAATTACAAAGCGTTAAAAACAGATCTTGTGTGACCTGTTAGCCTTCAGCGTCCAAGTTGAACATCAATTTCAGCTACTATCACACCACATTTCAGCTGAAATATCTGGTAAACTGGCCAAATTTCAGCTTTTTCTTGGTGTTTCCTAAGGTTGATTAGCTGTGGCAGCCACTTTCAATCAAGTTGACTTCAAATGTTAATCTACTGAGGATGTCAACCCACTGATTACTTTAATTGAAAGTGGTTCTGCTTGAGAGATATTTTGCTAACAGTGCTAACAAACACAGACACACAGGGTCACACTGGTGGCGGGCAATAATTATCATTTAACTGAGCAAAAATGAGCTTGTTTTAAAGAACCACAGAGAATAAACCTTTTTATTGTCTGCCCTCCTGAGAGCAGGACTGAAGTTGAGCGGTTCGACTGTCAAATAAAGACGTTCAGCGTTTCATCTGTCAACATGTTTAACTCCTTACTGATCACACAGTGGGTTTTTTGGGGGGACTGCCTGAAGTCACTGTAATTATAGTGATTAAAGTTGGACTTTGTAACAAGTTGAACAGCTGGCTGAGAGGCAAACACCTGCAGTCAGAACTAACTCCCGGCAGAGATAAAAGACAAAATATTAACACTCTGAAGTGGCTTTAATCAGCATTATCAGGTCTTTGTCTTGTTTGAACCTGCTCAGGGATGAAATGTCCATCTGGTGATTCCCAATGTTATAAATTCAGCTGTTGACGTCGATGTGCTTGTTGAACACAGTTTAGTAGCTTTCAGGTGAAAAGAGTAGCGGGTGTGTTTGAGGGAAGGTGCATGCAAAGATTTAACTTTTTATTATTATTTTTAGGGAGTTTGATGTTTTCTATTTTCTCCTGCTGGTGTTTAATTGGTTGGGCCACAGATGTCAGACTCAGTTTTTATTCAAGAGGTTTTATGAATGATGCTGATGGACTCAAGTCTAAAATGTCCAAATCCAAGGAGAGAAATTGTTCATTTCTGCAACAAAAACAAAAGTGTGCTTCCACCCCTGGCAAACRTGTAAATATCAACTGATCTTAACTTCAGCCACGTCTTAAAGAGTTCAGTCCCTGTTCTTTAAATGATTACAGGAAAGTCCAGCTGCTTGGAGGCATAACTCAAAGAAATGAAGGATGAATCAGTATTTTTTTTGCTCAATGCACAGCTGAGACATGAGGAAATAGAGATGTTGACGTTGTTTTACTCATCTGTCTCATCCCTCCCTCCCTCCCTGTACATGGGAGGAGCTCCTGGCTGAGTGGGTACATGCAGCTGTAGTATCACACACTGTCAGACACAGAGTGTGTGTGGACCTGCAGAGCTGTCCTCTCAGTTAAAGCCATACGTCTGCTGCTTCTGTGGATTTCTTTGTGCTTTTTTTAAAAAAAAAAACACCTCTTCTCAGGAACTGTTCAGTTTTTCAGTCACCTTAAAGGGAAACCTGCTGTAGATCAGAAGGGAGATCTGGTTTCACGCCCGGCTGACACAGAGCGTAAGTAATACTGTTACAGACCTTCTGTTCATTAACCGGGTAGTGCCGTGGCTGCATGAATCATTGATGTTGGTGCTGGTGGTGGTGCTGTGGACTTTGAGCTTATGATTACCTACGATGGCCAGGATAACCTGTTATTTCCATGTATTTAGTTTTCATGCCTGTGTGTGTCTGCTTCTGTTGGTTTCTCCTCTTTAATAGGAGCAAAAGTGGGTGTGAGTTGACACAAGACAGCCGTCAGCCCTTTCCAGGAGGTTTTTATCATCAGGTGATAGCACGGCAAGAGGGGTCATTAAAAACTCAGAGTCTAGGGGCAAAGCATCTGCGTGTGTTTGTGTGTGTGTGTGTGTGTGTGTGTGTGTGTGTGTGTGTGTGTGTGTGTGTGTG